GCCATACGGTCCGGCTGGTCCTGGTGGACAGTAGCGGCACTTGCCTGTTGGGTCAAGCGGTACTGGCGGGTAGATACCAGGAAGACCATCCAAACCGTCTGGACCATCTTCACCGGGATCACTGCACATATAGATAAACGTTCGTTAGACAAAACAGGTGGGTGAACGAAAAGTCGAGACTTACCCGTCCTTTCCGGGTTCGCCAGCTGGTCCCATTGGACCCGCCGGGCAGGTGTTGTCCACTTCGCATTCTAAATAAGGCGTATGACGTGGAGTTTGCGTGTGCAAGTGACAGAAGATCCTTACTGCATTGTGCGCCTCCGACTTGCCTAGTCTTTCTGATCGGAATGGTCTTGACGACTCTGGTCACTAGTTGGATCTCATGCCAGACGTCGTTGGAAAGTACCTAAGAAGATGGTGGTTTCGGTGGAGATGCGAGACGGTGATTGGACTGTGCACTACGGACTTACGTTGAATTCGTCCATATCGATTTGGACATCCTTTTGGATGTCGTCCATCTTGCGCAGAAGCATCGGTACGAAGAACAGGCATCCCAGTACGGTACCGACGCTCAGGAACACGGTGGCTGCGGCCGCTACTCGCTCCATGTTATGGCTAAACGAAAGGCGATGTCCCGACAGCAGGCACAAACAGCAGACAGAAGCACCTACCTCTCTAGTAGATCTCCAGACGATCGAGTTGGTGCGAAGTCGGTGCTGGCTGTTTTGTACTGGCTTCGTCGCCGCTGGCCATACCGGACCGGACCGGACCGGACTGGACCGGATCGGATCAGGGCAGAGCAGAGCAGAGCAGACGACCAAGGTGGTGGTGACCCGAAAACGAACGCCTTGCACGCGCTAGGCGGTGGAAATGGCCACGGAATGGGCGTCGTGTCGAGCGCCAAAAAGCGACGAGTGCCGAACGACGGCCAAAAACACTTGTTCCACATCTGAGCTATGCGCCGAAACTAAAAAACTACCCTCGTTCGACCGGTCGGTCGGTGCGGCCTAAATGGTTGACGGACGGCCCCGGTGCAAATGGGTCGAGTCTGCGACGACAGCCTCACGCCTCACCTAAGAAACAAATACCGATCACTTGCGATACCGTTCACCAGACGCGTCCAGCGAACCGTTCCGTTTCGTTCGTCAAGGCCTTGTTTTGCCTGAACCCGGTCAGCTTCCTAAATTCTTCACCGGTCGTTTCTGGTTCTTGCTACAGCAAGACGAAATCGAAACGTTGATGGTCATTTTGAGGCAATAAACCGTAACTAACTTGAACAATACTCGCGAATCGAACCGCTCCTTGACTCGCCGGTTTTCATGACTTCCATTTGCGAGACCCGGCCCTTTTCGAATGAGCCCAAAGTCTCCTCTTTTGAATAAAATGTTCTGCTCGGTAATTCCACAACTTAACTATTCTTCCGTACAGTATTATAATAAGAACAAATTAATCAACGACGGTGACGGTGGCAAATGTCATTCCCCGTTCAGAAGCATGATGGCTCAAATGTACACCGGATTGTTTTCTGGGAATAATTTTTATCCATTTCTTGATACCGCCCTTTCAAGACGGTTGTCATCTTCTATCTCCTTGTCCACGAGCGGTTATTCTGAAGATATTCTCATGCTTGGCCATTTCGTAGGTGCATCTGATAAAGATGTCTTATTCTAGAAAGACAGAACTGCCCTAAGACCTATAAGGAGCACCGTCGGCCGCTGACACCAATTTCCAGCTAGCAGGCTCTCTCAGAATTCAAGGCAAGAGGTTCACTGCTATCGTAACGGTTTAGGTGCGTTTGCTACCATCCAGAGCAGTAATCCGCTAATACCCTATCGACTTAAACTAATCTGTTTTTCTGTCCAGATCGGTGATGTGTGTCTTCCACTACCTAAGCCTCATCCGACATCAAAGCTGAGAACAGCTTAAACTTAGACATGCAGAAAACTGCGCGGAGGCTTATGTCTTTGAATTGGCTTACTAAATGCAGTAAATGCGAGGTGCTGTCAGCTTGAGCTGAACCTCAAATCACTTTCTGTCCATAACGGTACTGACTGATTAGCGCTCAGCACTGTGACATATGTTCTGTCAGAGGCAGCGTTGTGTTATGGGACTCCATTCTTTGACCGCTGGCCCTTCTCAGTCATGGAGGCGTAGAGAATAGATTTTCAATAAGCGAAATTGATCTACAGAAAGAAATTAATTTTTGCAGAGGAATGAAAACCAGAAACGAAGATGAATCGCACATCTTGAAATTCTGCCGGGGAGAGTAGCCGTGACTACTTTGTGTGTTTGAGGATAGGGTCGTGGTTCAGATTTCTCGTTGCCATTTCCTATTGTTAGCGGTCTAAGCGATAGGCAGAAATGCCATTTATTTACGGAGCCAGATGCCACAGGTGTAAAGGATTTGCTACAACATGTAATATACAACGTGACATAAGGCGACCAGCTTTTACTGAACCTACTAACTGTCTTCAGACATAACGTCCCGCTGCCCACCGACACAACTGTTACCCTCAAATATCATAAATCTGGCTTACTCCGCTATTTAAGCTCGGTTAGCCTCAGTTTACAATGACAAATCAAAAGACTAACGACCATGACTACTGTGAGGCGAGTCGTATTGGCTGAAGACGGCTGGCAGGTCCAGTTAGAACCTAATCCCGCGGTACGGCACTTCATGTCATGTCTTTGCGCAAAACATTTTCTCCTAGTAATGTTCTAAGGTGAGTTTTAAGCAGCTTTCTTTTGAACATACACAGATATCGCCAGTTTTGTACATCTCTTAAATTCAGTGTCAGAAACTGTCGATTCTCTTCAGACGGTAAAATGCAATACAGATAAAGATCCGATATTTTCTGACGACGAAGACATTAGAATAGGATAGTATGGTAATTATGGTATGTTCGTTTGGAGTAATCACCAAGAAGGTGGTCATGTCCTTCAGGATCGATTTGTCTTGTAAACATATGATGATCAGAATTCAAAATTTAATAGCCAGGATGGAAAAATAAGGTTGTTGTTCTTCCAACAGTTCGGCAGAGGGGCAAGAATGAAAATTAAGCTTTAAGCAATAAGAAAATTACTAACTGTTGTCGAGATCACTTCTCCCTCTAGTGCCTGATGCATCAGTGACTGGCAACTCATAGTTCCGTATTAAACCCCGCCATATGGATGGATTTCATTTGATTTTGCTGAATATTTAGACAGAGATGGTCAGTAATATTCTGATAAATACCTTCTACTTGGAAAACTCATCATCACCACAAATCTGGAAGGAAGGATTTGAAAATACCGTTGTAGTAGTCCGAAAATGGTCCAGTGAAATGCTTCTATTTTTTAAGGCAGACACCAGGGCAAGACAGACGAAAGATCCAAATCGTAGTTTGCGTATATGATATAAAATGGATAATTGAACTAGCGCTGAATGGCTGTCCAAGATCTGAAAAGTGTTCAATAGTAACGTCACCCAAATCTTGTATGTTAATGTTTTAGAGAGATTTTGAAGTTGCTTGGATCCCGGTCAATAGTTCAAGACAACACTTGAAAGTAAACAACAACAGTGTAAGGTCTATTGTTTACCGATGCACTTCAACATCACATAGCAACGCCTTTATCAAGGTCACGATACGACGTGGATAAATTTTGAATTTTCCGTAACCCGTTTGAACTGCTTCCTTAATCTGTGGATCAGGGGCGAGGGCCATTAACAGTTACTGAAGCAGGCATCCAGTAAATACCTCCTTCCCATTGTTGACATTGATTTTACACTTGTTGTTACAGAAAGTCTCTTGAGAATGAGCCCAGCTGGATTCAGAGCATTGGGAGGCTTTCAAATAAAATTTATATACGCAGTGAACCCTTTGAAGATTTTGGCTATGCTAATGTCGTCATCTTTCTGAGCAGAAAATCGTATATGTCATTCAAATTCCGGTTTGTTGTTTTCTGCTACGAATGATATTCACGATTCTTTTTTTAAATGCCAGAAAATCAATCATATTCTGTAACAAATCAACACTCAGTTTTTGTTCTTTATGAAGATTGCTGCTTTGTCATAATCATTTTTAGCGTTCTGCAAAACCTCAGGCATGTTTGTGACTCCGTAATTCTCTTAAGTAGATGTTTCGCATCTTGGTGCTAGGAAGTATATCAGATAAACCGATCTGATCTGATCCATGGCAACAATTGGAGCTGTATCATACCGAAACGCTGTATCATACCGAAACGTTTTGATGCCGCATACCAGCTTCATTGCCATGGTAATGCCAAACAAATGGAAATGAAATATTCCTCATTGAACACCCAATTTCCGCTTAGATTCCAGTACCATGTAATATACTCGGCATATAGGAATGAGCACTAATTGTTTTGAGGATAAAATGTATCGTGAGTCTACTTCTGGTGAAAGAGTTAGATAACAGGCATACTGTCGATGTCAAATAGCCCTGGGCAAAAACGAAGTTATGCCATAAAATGGCAATATTCGCCTAATAGATGAAGGACATGAAAATGAGCTGCAAGGACCTGAGTTCACTACAGCAATAGGACATTGATTGGAAAGCATTGAGCAGCGCTGCCTTCTATGCATGTTTAAGGAATGATTCGCATCTTCCATTCAGAGCAACTGTCGTTAGGCACAGGTGTTAAGAAAATGAGGTCAGACCTGTAAGGCAAATATCGTCGTTTGGGAATGGATACACGGCCGACGTCGACCAGGGGGCTATCATCTAGCCTGGAGGAACGAAGTCAAGGTAGATCCTCTTTCAGGGAGGAATATTTACTTGAACAGTTCAGTAACCGATACCTCATAGCTAAAGTGTCAAGAAAACCACCTGTACAAGACAAACAATGGTTTACCAGTAGCCGTTGCTGTCCATCAGTATAGACGAAGGAGAAGGAAACTGTTAGTTTAAAGGAATACGTCGGTTATCCCATATATGTGACTGTATTATATCATTGAGAGATATTATATTAAATGCTGACGCATGCAACGGTCTGATTCTACGTTGCAGAAAGGCAACCTGGTAGAGCTGGGCAGCGCCATGACCAGTGAATAGACGATATAAATGACATAAAGTTGCTGTCGAGCAAAGAAAGTTTTGCAGATTATTATCGAACGATGACACGTTCGCTCTACTCCATAAGTGTACAGACCGTCGTCGTTAGCGAGAAGGGAATTTCTTGGTTAAAAATTGTCGTTGTCGTCATTGGCACTTTCGGCACGGTTACTTGAGACTAACACAAAACACCTGGAAAGTGGGATTAAAATTCAGTCGATCGAAGACATGGTAGATGGAATCTGATATGCTGTTGAAGGGCCAAACAACAGTTTATGCGTAAGGCATAGAAGATATAAAAATATGCATTGGAGGAGGTATGGATTTCTTATTTATGAATAACAGTTAACAGTCTTAGTTTACTTATACATTGTTAAAGGCGGCAGTTTGTAAAGATGCTTTTTGTTACGATGCGTTTCGACGCCGCACTCATCTTCATCCGGTAATTATATGCAAGTGAAGCTGCGAAGTGTAAAAAACAGTTTTATAGTGTTTGATTAACAGCATACTTTTTTCCATTAATCCTTTATAACATTATGGCCCGTGACACCAGCAGTATCGTTGATACGATTGAACTCATACACCCGTTATACGGTCAACTTCTGTTAGCCATCTTGTGTCATGATCATGTGATTTTTAGCCGGATATGTATGCTCTTCTTACCAGCAGAAGTGACATTCGTCGGACTGCAGGAGATTCCCAAGTAGAATGCATGGGAAGGGATGCCAGAGTGTTCTTTTTCCCATTATTCCGAGTTGGTAGATGTCAACCTTCATTTCCAATCTCTCTATGGTTTTCGTAGTCTTTGCACTCGATCTTATAAACCATGCTCATCTCATCTCTCTCTTTCGTTCTTTCCGGTCGATAGGTTTCTTGCGAATCTACGATCCCAATC